GGGTTGGGGTCGTCAAAATAGGATCCTGATTCCTGATCGGGTTCGGGGTCATCAAAATAGGATCCTGATTCAGGATCAAATTCGGGGCCAAAGTCTGTATCTGTAGGAGCTCAGCCATTTGGGCACTTAACTGAGCTATGGTTGGTTGAGAAGGAGAGAAGGAGTCGGTGGTGCTACCTCCAGGAGGGTTGAAAAAATCATCAACCCCCATAGCGGCGGTTGATCTTTGGATTAAATTGGTTAGCCATTAAATCAGGTTGATTAGTTTGTGCTAAAATATGAAAACTATAAGAGAATATTTGTTTGTGGGAATTTTCTATGTATTCTTCTCCTTGTAGGAGGTCATATTTATAATACAACAAAACCTGAATGGGCAAGTAAATAATAAATTCCTAAATCTATTTACAGTAGGAAATCAGGAATTAAAGTAAATCAATTACAAATAAAATAGGAATCCTTGGTGTGTAAGGAAAGTAAGTCAATATCCACAAGTCACGCCAACAGTAATAATGATTTATATTTCATGCAGACTCACACGAGCAACTTCGAATCACATAGATTTAAAATGAATGTAGAATTGAGGGCAAATATTTGTTCTGGAAATGAATTCAATTCTGGACAGTTAGTCCCTAAAACTATAATCTTTCAATGCAGGACAAGAGGAAATTGAATTTCTATACAAACTTTAATAGGTTTAAGGTCACAATCCATGGCTATCTTTAAGACAGAGTCCAGCTTTGAAGTTAAAAGGATAAACAGAGGTTTACCTTCATGTGTTTTGTCATACTTCTGTTCCTCGTCAGATTTTGAAAAGCCAGTTCTAATAGCTACTCGAGTGCATTCCATGTTCATGCATATCTCAGCTCAACGCAAGATACTGCTAAATTCAAGGATGAAGAAATTAAGAATTGGAATGTTAGGTTGATCTTAGAACATCAGCAAATTAATTTCTCGCACTCACCAGCGTGCTTGAACTCTTGCACTTCCTTAAAGCCCATCCATGGCCATGGCTTCATCCAGACTTTTGCTTCGTAAAGCTTCTTCTTTCCGGCATCGATGGCCTCGATCGTCAGATGGTGCAGAGTTCCAGCAAACTCAAGCAGAGCATTCTGCAAGAATTTCAATTAATTGCTTAATAATCTAATTAATTAAAATTCCAGCATAATATTGAAGAAATTAAAAGGCAAAAAAGAGTAAAGACCTCCGTGTTGTTGTGGTCTTGGACGGCAAAGCAAGCGAGGTCTTCAGTTTCGAGGCTGTTCTGGGAGGCATGGGATTCGTGGACTCAGCCGAGAGTGGCCATGTTTTGGAGTTGGGAGGGATTTGATTCTTCTGCCAAGGATGAGAATGCGAGGAAAGGTAAGAGGACGAAGAGGTTGAGTTGCATAAACAGACACAAGGAGGAAGAAGAAGAAGATTTCGATTTCAATTCCGCTGTAGAACACTTGTAGGACAGATGGGAATTTATCTCTTTCC